TATATATATATATATATACGGCTTTAAAAACGAAGATATTATTTGTTTATAATACCAAAGTGTAGTAAGACAAATCCTCTCTATGATGTAAGTAAAAAATTGTAACAGTATTAATATTTCATTGACATAGTATACATTTGTGGTAGTAAAATACGTGAAAATGATATACAAAGACAAAAAAATGATTTCGTCGTTTAAAACAGCAGGATATATAATTATAGAAATTTCATTTTACGTATTTTAATATAAAATAAGTAGAAATCGTTAGCAATCGTATTTAACACAACAGAAAAATAATTATATATGGAATATTGCATGCTTATACTATATATCTTTAATCTATATAATATGTTTAATAGTACGAAAATTTGCGTAACAGTATGCAAAATACATTCGCGTTTTAATTTATGATAAAAATATAATAGTTATTCTGTGCGAATTATATAAAACATTTTATCAAAATGTAATGATCATATTGAATAAGCAATGAACAGCCGTACAATAACAATAATCGATTATTTGTATATAAATTTTTTGATCGTATTTCTACCACGTATTCCTTCAATAAATTTTTTTATGTTAAAATATACGTTGTGTATTTAAATTTTCCTAAGTAAGCATCAGAATCGCTAACTTGAATTGAGATCATCTTTATTTTTAGCAGTAAGCTCAAAGATCATATCCCGCATACGGCTCAACTCTTTCAACTCCCCTTTCATTCTTTGAATATTTCTATCTTTTTCTGATATAGTTTGCTCAGAGGTCTGTAGTATATGCTTCATTTGTTCAATTTCTTGCTTAAGCGCAGATATATCACTTTGATTTGCTTCTATCTCTGCACTTTTTTTCTCTAAGATCTATAACACATAAAATATAATAGAATTTGCGTTAGAAACATTTTTTAGAGATGAAATATACAGAGAATTACTATACCTGTTCTTTTTTGTTAAGGGAATCTTGCATTTTTTGTAAAAGTTTACTTAATTCATGATTTTTATTGCTCATATCTGTAACCTTTGCTTCGGCAATTAAAAGTTCGTTATCTAATTCTTTGATTTTTTTGGTTAATATATCAATTTTATTATTACTATCTTCTAAGTCTTTTATACACTGTGTCAGTTTTTCATTTAAATTCTCTAAATTTGTCGACTTTTCGGCCACAATTTTTTTCAAAGATTCATTTTCCTAAAATGCAATAGTCGTTATTATAAAAATTAAAGAAATTGTTAAAGCAATTTCGCATTTGTGTAATAATAAGTATTCACTTTTTTTTTTAACGAAAGCGCTTTCTGAGATTGATTTTCCTTCTCGATAAATTTTTCTGTTAATGCACACTTTTCCGCTTTTGTTCCTTCCAAAGATTGCTGGGTATCAAATAATAACTGATGTAATCTACTAGATTCAGCCACTATTTGTGCTAATCTGTGTTGTAGACTAGTAGCATGATTATTTGCTGCTTCTAAACTTGACCGCATTGCTCTTTCAGAATGTCTCATTGTTGCTAACTTTAAAAAAATTAGTTACAATATAATAAAATATATCAAACTGTACACTATCAATGTAAAAAAAGATTATAAATTTTATACCTTATATTCATATAATTCCATGACCGCGGATGTTGGAATATCACTAATTTGATTTGATTCGAGCTTGGTTAAAAATGCATCGAGGCGTTCTTCTTGCCCAAAGGAAAATAACGGCGCCAATTCATTCCCAATATAATTTAGGGATACTTTACTCGAGATCTCCAATATATTATTATTGGTATTTTGAACCAATATCAATGGTTCTAGTTCTTTCATGCAAAGTGCCACTGCGGAAACACTTCTCAAACAGAAATTCTATATGTATAACTGTTCAATTAAGATGAATATCTTATCACATGTGAAGGGTTTACCATTCTTGTGGAAATCCAATCGATGATGTCAACTGTAAGGCTTTGTGCTTAACTTCTGCATCACCGGTGAACAATGCTAACGCTATTATTATTTGTATTTGTTTTTTACTGAGCAATTCGGAATATAGAGTTAACCAGTTGGAATGATTCGCTGCCAAATCTGCTGTCAAGGCTAAGGCATGAATGTAAAGATTGGTAGAAGCATTCTGTAAAGTTGAAAACATGTAATTAATATTTTAACGCATGCAACATATTAAATTCTGTATTAACCTGCATAAAGTTTCTGGTCCAATCTCCACAGGCGGAAAATTCATTATTCAGCACATGATTGAATTGTTTGCGCATTGCATGTTCGTTGAATGAACTCATAATTTTCTTTTTTAGCGCAGGAGTTTTAATCATTTCTTGAAAGAGTTGCATCAATTCGGCTTGCTTCATTTCTGCGTTTTGACCTTCATTTTGATCATTAACTTCGTCCTCCTGATTCGTTATAAGCATTAGGACAGACGGATCTATCTCTGTTAAAACTTCAGCACAGGTTCTGGTGCGTCGGGAATCAATTATTATGCTTCGTATAAGCGCTAAAGCTTTTGAACACACCTACATTTTTCAACAGAAATTTTAGATCAGATTAAATTACTGATTAATTTCTCGTATTCCATCTTTTCCTTTTCGAATTACTGCATTAATAAGAATTACGAAAGATGATAATAGAGATTACGAGCACGAGTGTGGCATAGCAGACAGCGCATTGGTCTATCATGCCAAAGATCTCGAGTTCGATCCCGGTAGAAACCAAAATATTTTCGCTTGTGTCTCCTCTCAGAAAAGGCTGGCAAGACCTTCTGGGTATCTCTGCTCACAGAAACTTTCAAAAAATTCGCCATTCAGAACCGACATTAAAACTGTAGGTCCCATATGCTTGTGGCAATTTTGAATATTGATTATTCAAAATTATTCAAAATATGGTGCGCACGTTGATCGTGCACACCATAAGAGAGAGGTGAACATAGGCTAGAGGACTAAGAAGAAGAAAATAATAAAGATTACATACCTGTTCCACAGGTACCCATGTCATAGCTGATTTTATACATGCAGGATACAAAGGCGTTATGGCAGTTAATTTCAGCTTCACCAATAATAATAAAAATTCCATCATGAGAGCGACGCATTCTGGATCTGTGTTCTCTTCCAAAGTGGCCAATATCTTTTCAATATCTTTGCCATAACTAATCAACATTGAAAATATATAAGTATACTGAATGTTTAAAAAAGGTTCATAGACTTTAAAAGCATACAGGATAACAAAAACTAAGTCAAAAAGTTCTAATAAAGTCCGAATACTTGATCCAAGAGATATTTTGACAACCATTTGTTTTTGGATCTAGGTTTATTAGGACCTTTTGATTTATTTTTTATTGTTCTATATACTTTTAAAATCTGTAAAATTTTGATAATACTCTGTATGTTTTATCTTTGAAATATTTTATGCATTGTTATGTTACATAAGAACCAGATTTGTTCGACTTACTTCGAATATGTGAGTAGAACATTTCGCCAATGTTCGTTTTGCCCAATATCGTTAAAAAAATCAACGATATGTCTCAATAATAAAACATCTTTTTGTTTCATCGCTTTTCCCAGATTAATAAACGTTACCGATGCAAAATCTGTGATATATTTCTCATACATGCTCGTGTTACTTGGCTCCAATATAATTAATAACTTGCAACATTGTACACTAGTATTGACATGATCTTGTAATTTCACTAACGTTCTAATAAATGCTTTAGTATTGATGGTTCGCATCAGCGTGTATACTGCCGGAAGATTTTTATAACATAGATTTACCAGTACACCTAAAGATAAAGAGATAATCTCTTCTTCTTTTGATTGTACTACCCACTGAGTTAATGTGGAAATTAAATATGGAAGCTGAGTCTCTTGCCATGAGATTTTGATTCCATATGTTAATTCTTGTAATAGTTTCAATACTCGTATCCTCTTTTCAGTTGTTAGATTCGCCTATAATGCTCGAAAGAACTTTACATTAATTTGATTATGCAAAGGTATCTAATAATATACTCCATTTCTTGCCATCGTCCTATTTATAGAACATCTTTTCAATTTTTTTCTATGTATGTATCATCTTTTTGATTTTTTTCATATCTATATAATTTATATGTATAAACAAAATTTTTTTAATACTCCATATGGAGAAAAAAATTAAAAAGATGCTAAAGATAAAATGAATTTTAAGCTGTAAGATAAATGAATTTTAATCTTACAATAATTTTAATACAATGTTAAATGTTTCGATTTTCATTAAGTCATCCTCAGTAACATAAAAATATATAAATAAAAAAAGTCGTAA